TCAATTCATACTATTTTTTACATTAAAATATAAAATCTATTTTGTATATATTTATTAAATAAAGCAATACAAATAATACAGCGAAACAACTTTAATACAATGAAGCATAAAAATAGAAAGAGAATATTTGTGCATGGAATTATTAGACAAGGAAAGGAATGAAAAGGAATTGGTGCAGATAGAAAAATATATAAATTATCATTAGTTAGCACAACATTTGAGAATTCTTTTTAAATATTATAAATATTTATATTATATAAAACTATATTAATAATATAAAATTTATTCTTTCAAATAACATGTAAAAAGAAGAATCAAAAACAGATTCAAGTATGATCATTTACTGTAAAAAGTGACTAAAATATTAAAAATTTACAATGATAATTTAATATACAAAAACATAATTGGATCCCTGAACTGGTCTACAAATTTATAGAATACTATAAAAGTTGGCAATTACTGCTAAACTTTTATATGAGAAGACAGAGGTATTTTCAATATACTGTAACTCATTGGTATCACAGCTATATATATATTTAGTTTAACATGATTTATGATGTATCTTCTTGTGACCTTTCTAATATTATTGATTTGTTCTGGTATAAAACTTAATCCCAGTTCATCATCAAAAATCTCCTCAACCTGTTAAAGATTTGGTATCTGATGAGAATATGCAAAAGGGGGGCAATGTAAACTTTCAATGTATTGTAACTTCTCAGAAAAAACAAATCATCTGCAGATGAATTTAGAATTAACAAAAACAGATTTTTGTTTCTTCTCAGTTTACAAAACTTCAAGAAGATGACAATAAAATAATTGACGTCTAAATCTCTGATTTATATACAGTCATACCCCGAACTTACGCGATACGTGGGACCGAGCGGTAATTGCGTAAGTCAGGGTATAATTTCGCATATAAATACATACAAATAATTTTTAATTGGGGCTGGAGACTACAGAAAACAATAATTTAGAAAAAAATGTTTAATAAAATCTTAGATAATACATATGTATAACATATTATATTATTATACAATTTTTCACAATTACTTGATTATCACACCATAATTTTAACATTGTTTCCATCTCAGCGATAATACCGTAACGTTTACCAATGATGCTTGAATTTAAAGATTAAGCATTTTTTACAGCTTCGAGAATTTTTTCTTTACCTTTTATAATTGTTCTGATCGTCGATTCCGGTAGATCAAACTTCTTTGCCAATTCACAAATTTTCATTTTTGTACCGAAGTCTTTAATAATGTTAACTTTACATTCCAAAGATAAAGTTTTTCTTTTCTTGTTTGATGCAGAAGAATCAGTTCTACTTCATTTGGATGACATAGTAGAGTGTTAAGATTAATCATATTTGTTATTGTAAACCACGCTTAAGTTAGGCGCCATCTATTCATTTCTTTTGTATGTCCGATGATCAAAAGACTGCTTGGGATCGAGTCTATTTATAATTTGAAAGGTAATCTTGTCAGTTGTATATACAAAAGATAAATTGTTTACAAAATGAGTCTTTGTTTATTATCTGATAAATGTATACTTTTTTCGTCAATTGTTCACGATTGCAGATGCCTTTTGTGTAAAATCCAAGTCGGATGTATGTAAGCTAATAAATGTTCTCGTTAATCTTATCTCACCTTTTGGTTCATTCACGGTTACAAGAAATCACCACACAGAGTCTCTCAAGTCTCCGTAGATATAACAAACAGAAATAAATTACACAAAATAAATTGTAGCTATGCGTTGATTCCGCGCAACACATCCGAACATGTAAGCTGAACAATAGTGTGAGGGGAGTGAATAATCAAGAGTTGCGTGGCACTCAAACAAAAGACGAATCGACGAGATTTGAAAATCGTGTAACTCCGGGTTCGCATAAGTCGAGGTAGCGTAAGTCGGGGTATTACTGTATATATATATTAGAGATGCAGTTGTTGTTTGCTAATTGTACTAAACAGCTCTTCCACTGATTAATTGTCAAGTTATGTTTAATTCTCTAATAATCAAAGTAATTGATAAATAATCATTTTATTGGAAAAATATAATTTAATAATTTTAAATTTAAAACAATAAACATTAAAAAAATAAATAATGTTTAAAGAAATGTTTACTTTATTAATAATGAACTAAGTTTAAACAAGAGTGCATATGAATTAGAATTAGATAGAATCCATTACTTTATAGTGGTCATGTGATATTGTATGTACTATTCAATTTTTCATTTGTTTCTATGAATCTTTTCTCGGTTAAAAACATATTATTTCAGTAAGAAATATGCTATCATTACCAAGAAGTTTTTAATGGAAATAAAACTATTGATAACTAACAAATATAAGGAAAAAATTATTAAAATTATAGTATATTCCTGCAAAACAAAAAACTTAACTCTGAAAAATAAAATTGAAATTCTAAACATTCTCAAATGAGAGCCACAGCAGATTTAGGATATTAGTCATGACTCTGGTAGAGAAATTCTGTTAATACAGAAATTAAATTAGTCATGACTCTGGTAGAGAAATTCTGTTAATACAGAAAATAAAAAAATTAAAGGTATACTTAATTGAATTTTTATTGAAGAGTATTCTAAATTTTTGATCAATAAAATTTTTTAAAACTGAATTCTGTTTTATCCTAAAAGTAAATACTATGTTGAATATAGATAATAAATAAATAATAGTCACTACTTTAACAAGTAAACATACAGGGTAAAATGTATGAAATATTAAGCAGAATAAATTCTTTATACAACTATTTGATTTTTTGTTTGATAGATACATGTAGAATAAAAAATTAAAAAGTCCTGGCTATGATAGACTTCATAGATATTATCAACTTTTGGAAGTTTCTGTTAAGCATTTATCTAAGTTTGGGTGTCCAAGTGATGGATTAATTTTGTTTGTTAAAATTTCTCATGCAAAATTATACTATCATTTTCCAATATGTATGTAATTATGGTTTTGATTTCCGATAAAATGAATTCTGGCTTAGAAAAATAAATTGTTGTTCTTTCATACTTTCCATCTGTTATAGAACTTGAATATAAAAGTTATTTTTTCTAAATAAATTGATTATAAATGTGAAATGAATCTTATGGTATTATCATTTGAATTGATGATTGTAATGCCAGAATTGATAATTTTCATAATAGAGAATATTATAAAAGGAATCAAAAAATTGTTGAAAAATCATGAGAAGATAGTAAATAAATAATAGAGATATATAAATTGTGGCATTAATTTGATTATAAATTTTTTGCTCTATATGAAGATGCAATACATACGTTCTGGCTATTTTTACCTTTATCTCTACTGACAATTCAATGACTGATTTGGATATTATCTCATATTTGTTGTTCAAACTTTGCTCTCAGCTTTACATCTTATCTAATGTGTATTCTAATCATTTTCAGTAGTAATGTTTTTTCATCTGGATTTATTAACTAAATTCAAATTACATAGATTAGAAAAGTAAGGCAATTCAAACTAAACAGCAATATAAAGAAGATCAAACTGAAGATCTGATATGTATATTAATTAACTAATTGACAAGATACTTTTGAAAATTATCTGCTTTTGTGTTCTTTAACAGTTAATAAAAAAATTTGAAAATTTCAGGGAGAAATGAATAATATAATCTGGCATACATCCACACATTGTAATATATAGAAAAAATATGTGAATAAATTTAAAAAAAAGCATAATCTTTGCTTGCCATGAAACAGATTGTTATAAACTTGCAATTCAAACGAAGGTAAACTTAAACAAATATAAAAATAAAGGCACATGGAACATATCTCTGACTACTTGAAAGTGAAAAAAATATATCAAAATGTATGTAACGTAAAAAAAAATATATTATTTAAAGCAATTAATTGTGCTTTTGTGTAAAACAACATCTTCAGCTCTTTTTAGTCAGTGTTAAATAGATATCATAGGTCTTCTAAGTTGACTTACGTATACATCCCTTTTGATAAATAATTAAATTATTTTAAATCAGGGAGGTTATTTGCCAGAAGTGACTTTATTAATGCTTATTTTCCAAGTAAAGATGATTTATTAAACAACAGAGTAATACTGAAGAATAATATTTATCATTATGCCAATTAAAATATAAAACAATCACCATCTGGAATTGATGGTATTCCTCTAGAATTTGTTAAATATGTACCCCCAGAAAACTAAGGTTACTTTTGTTAAACTCATTAAATATGATTTTCTGAGTGAAATTATTCCTGATTCTTGGAATACAATAATTTATAACATGGCATATAAAGAAAAAAGCTAATCCAGCCAACTATCACCTAATAGCTTCATTAGTGACAACCCAAGTTTTTCCAATCTGCTAAAAAATTGACTAATAAGTTAGTTAAGTAAAAGAAAATTACAAGTTATACAACAATTTGCTTTATTGTAAAGGGAAAGTTACAACAGCTGCTATATTTCTTTTAAATAATCTAATTCAGCTAACTTTGTCCAGGAAGAATTACTGTTCATTAATTTATCCATAGCTTTTTGATTTCATTTCTATCCAAAAATTTCTCTCTTATTTAATATAACTGGGACTTTCAGCAAAATCTGTTGATTGTTACAGTTATTATTTCATTACTTAGTATAGTAGCTTTGCAGCTGAAGACAGACTATCAAATATTTTTGTTTTGGACAGAGGCTTTCCACAAAAAATTTGTTGAGCCTATGTCTATTTTCCCTTTATATTTCAAACTTGCAATATCAATTGTTAACCTTTCAACAGTCGGGTATGATTCTAACCCCAGTAGCGGAGAAGAAACGTGGGAAATTTTTAAAGTATTTTTCCATGCGTTTTTTTTCTCATTACTGTTTCAGAAAAAGATTTTGTAAACAGTTATGTCTAGTAAAGAAAAGTCTTTTTTTATTGTTACATAATTTATTTTTTATGTAAATTTTTTTTTGCAGTAGTTTTAGGCNATACATAATATTTCAAGCCTTAAATATTAAAATATTTATACTTACTCTGAAACCACGATGTAATCTGTCACGCATAATTGCAATAAATTCCTTATAGGATAAATATCCATCACCATCTTCATCAAAAATCTCAAATACTGTATTTACAAGATTACTATCCAAACTATGCCCAGTACAAATTTTTACTGCTCTATGAAATTCTTCTAAAAATATAAATCAATAATTCAAGTTTCTAATTTTAAAATTACACTTTATTTTTGAATTGCATTCATTCAAAATACTATGAAACATGCACATAAAATACTGTAAAAACTATCATTATAACAAAATAAAAACAGTAGTCAATTTACATTCCACAAAGTTTTTCTCATAAAATCTGCTGAAGATATGAAAATTTCCAATGTAATTTTCTTTTCATTTAAAGTAAAATAGTAATACAGTAGAGCAATAATTATCCGACTCAATTGGGGACTGGGGTTGGTCGGATAATTGAAAAGTCGGATAACAGAAAAGTATGAAAACAAAAAATGAATGTGTTTTATCAAAATTACATCAATAAAGTATTAATAATCAATATTGATAAATCCAAGATAATTGTATTTGAAGAGGACAATTTTTATGACAACAAGATAAATGTTTATAAGTATATGCTTAAAGTAATAAACAATTGCTTCACTGAATAAATTATACAGAGGCAACCTTTGAACAATTAAAACTGATTTATAATAATTATAACAGAGATTCAAAAATAGTGAGTGAATTAGATATTGCATTCATTTACAGAAATTTTTAAAATTAACATTAGAGATGATAACTGATACCAATCTGATACTGATATAACAGCATATCAAAATGTTACTAATATTGAAATCAGTTTGTTTTACAAACCAATGGGCTACCTTTTTTTTTCTGATGGTCGCTATTAAAAAAGAGATCAGAGCATTGGTTCATTTTATAAACCAGCACCAGGACATCAGGATCATTTTAATATGCCAATATATATAGTATCAGATTGATATTTGTTACATCTCTAATAAATATAAATGTTAAAATTAAAAGTTCTGAAATTGAAGTTTCTTTTTGAAAACAAATACAAAAATTGAACCTTGAAGCAAGCTGAAAAACTCAGTTAAGATGATGATAAATAATCTTTTTATTTTTCTCAAATGTTGTTCTAATTTAGACATATTATATATAAAATTACATTATCAACACATGAATATATAAATATAAAAACAAAACTTTAATAAAAATAAACTATGAATTTTTATTAAGAAAGCAATATTTCAATAAATTTTTATAAAATTACTTTATTTCTAAACAATATTTTCATTATTTTTTTTTTATTAATGTAATACAGTATAAATAGAAAATTTTGACATTTAAACAATGATTATAATTAATATAAATATAGTAATTAAAATCATTAAAAAATTAACTTATTTAATCTATCATTTTAAATGATTAAATTAAAGTTAAAGCATTATCATTTAATTGTATTTAAATGAAAACACACATAAAGATATAAATATAACAAAAGAAAATGCAATTATTATTATTATTGAAAGCATATTCATATATAAAACATAGCAAAATTTGTAAAAATATTTTTGAATTTCTGATGAAAGCTGATTCTTTTATAAATGTAAATTTCTGAAAACATTAAGTATTCATAAATTTAGAAATAATTCCTTTCTAGCGTAATTAAATTTATATGAACAAAGATACTGTTTACAAGATTTATCAATAGAAATAATTCAAATATACAGAGAGAATATTAGTAATAATATCTAATTTTATATACAGTAATAGATACAGTATTAACATAAAATCTCTTAATTCTTTCTAGATTGTTTAAAAAATATTTAATTATCAATTAAACTTGTTAACAACTTAAAAATATTTAGTAATCTATATTAAAATATATTAATAAATATTCTATCTTAGAAAAATTGTATTTAAATAAAATTACTAAAATAATTGTTATAATATAATATTTAATTGATAAAGCATTTATATAAAGTAATCCAAAGTTTAAAATTCAACTTTATGAATTGATTTTGATATCAGCAGCAGCTGACTTCCTCAGAATAAACAAAAATTACTGTACAAAAATACTCAGAAAACTATTTATACCACTGAATAATTGAAATTGACATTAAATGTAACTGAGAAAATTTTTATTGCTGAGAAACAAACCTTTTTCTTGATTTTTGTAAGAGATAAACTGTGAAAAATCAGATAACTGTTAAGACTAATACAGTTGGATAGCTAAATGTGTAGCTTCAATAACATTTTGCTTTAGCCACCAGCTGGGATTTTTTTCCATATATCAAATCATGAAGTCNGCTATCGTGAACATTTGACGAAATAAAAGTGTACATTTATCAGAGAATAGACAAAGACTCAGTTTGTAAACAATTTACCTTTTGTATATACAACTGACACTCGATCCATAGTGGTCTTTCAATGACCGGACATAAAAAATGAACAGATGACACTTAACTTAAGCGTGGTTTACAAAACGAATATGATTAATCTTAACACAACCACTCATAATTAAAAAATTAAGCCTAGTTTAAATACTGGCTTCCCTTTCATGGTTGAGCCAGTGTAGCCAGCTAAAACACGTAAAAATTTAACAAAAATAATATTAAAGTAGCCAAGACATAGCCAATATATTGTAGCGCCACATCACTAGCGGACATTTGAATTTGCCGACTAGAATGCGGTCAGTTAACTGAGGTGACGGTTAATCGGGGGTCGGATAATCGATGCTCTACTGTAATACATAAGTGTATTAAACATTGCAATGCCTGATAGTAATTTGCTACTAGAGATAGACATTAGGTACCATCTCTTAACTAAATTAATAATTATAATTTTAATAATTTATTAAATAATTACTCAAGCTATAACTCTGCTAATTATTTAAATTAGCAGAGTTATAGTCTGATTGTTTAAGGCAATCATTTTGTTATGTAATAATACATTAAACAAAATGTTACTAATGATACAATAAAACATTTATCATTATTATTATATTGCACAAAAGTGCTTTGTTTTCACTTATCTTTTATAGTTTTAAATACAACAAATTATTACTTAAATAATAACTCATTCAAATAATAATTTGTGGAAAGTCATTAATTTATTATTTAAGAAGTAATGAAAATCAAAAAGCATTTCAATTTTTAAATTAAAAATTCAAAAATTACCTTGTGATATTGGCTGGTTTGCAAATGTGAACATCCTCATGGCAATTGCAAAATCATCCAAATTATTTAAAAATTGACAAAAAGCTTTAAACTGTTCAAATGTTATTCCCTAAATTAAAAGTATTTAAATTAAAACTTTTACTTTACATTTTTAATTAATCATATAGTTTAAATTATTACTACACTGATCCCCCATGTTTGTGAATAATTGGGACCAAGTAATCCTTCATAAACATGGAATTCTTGAACTTTGAGTTCTATTTTCAATGTTAAATTTGTAATTTGATTCAAGACTTTATTGGAATGAATTACAATATTGCTGTTTTAAAAACTTTTCAGAAAATAAATGCTTTTATTAAATAAACATACTGTGCAATGGCTTATAGTGCTGTAAAAGTCATTTTATTTAAGCCAAATGAAAAGAAATGAACCAAACAGTAACATAACTTATGACAGACATCATACAAATGAGTGAGTGCAGTAATCTTTTAGCATTGCACCTGCTCAAACATCCAGTTTGTGTAGGTACCAACTTCAGTTTACAATAGTATGTACTCTCCCATTTCCCAAAAAGTTGAAACTTCTCATAAAAGTTGAAACTTTGGTGTATAAATTTCCAATCATGAATGATCAAATTTCTGAACACTTATGTTCACAAACATCGAGGATGTAGTGTATATTTATTCAAATAAAATTAAAATATATATACATATCTATTACTTATAGCAGAAAATTAAAATAATTTTCCAAATGTTGTCATCTCAAAATATATCCTAATAATACAATTTATATTACAAGACAAATCATTCATTATTATTTTACTTATATTTGTGTGTGTTTTACAAAATTAATCATATTTTCTCCTCTGTAAAAATTATCTAAAGAAATAATTATCAATTTATAATACAGTTGATTCCATTTAATGGGACACATTGGGACTTATCCATTTTGGCCCAATTAAGCAGCTGTCCCAATTAAACAAACTAATAATAAATTCTAAAATAAAATATGTAATACATAGGTAAATAAATAAGCAGGTAAAAAATAATAATTAGGTATAGTACCTATTTTAATGATTTATTAAACCAAAATACAGAAAATTTTTGTACTATAAATTTGCCAGACTCATGATGATAGATAACTGATTCACATCATGTTAGTGTTGCCAAATATTAATAGAGACATACACAGGGGTTGACCATTCGATCTGTTCTTGATTGAGTGATTTTTCCTTTCTCTCTTTTTAGTTAGAACATGTTCTAACTAAAAAGGGAAAAAGGAAAGGGTTCATCCAAAAGTCACCTTATGGTCATCTTTTGAGCACAATTTCCTTTACTTGGATATGGACCACTTCAGTGAGAGCATCCATAAAATCCACCAGCTTCAGATGCTGTGAATTCTATGCATCTATTATTATGATTCTATATCCAATGTATGGCAGAAATTTCAATCAGAAAAGTTACAGAACAGCTCCCATGAGTGCTCTTCTGACAATCACTGGTCTCCCTCCAATAGACCTTCTCATCAAAGAGAAGATGTGGAGGTACTTTCTCCTCAATTCTGCAAACAACAACAATATCCACAATAATCTGAGGACTATACTTCCATCCAAGACTCTTCCTTTAAACATCAAAGAGCTTGACAACATAATCTCCATCAATGGTTTGGACAAGGCCAACAACCATTACCTTTTGCACCTGGCTATAATCATTACTGCCCAGTTCAACATGAACAAGGACAATATCCCCAACAATTTCAACATTTATATGGATGGTTCTAAGTCCAAGGAGGGTATGACTATATTGGCACCAACATCAGTTGGCTAAAAAGCAGGAGAATTATCATCATCACAGATAGTAAGGTGACTCTTCACCAGATCTGTAACAGGAACTTAAACCTCAAAATCATCAAGGACATCACCACCCTCTTAGTTAACCTGCAACAAAAGCTATCAATAAGTTTCTATTGAATAAAAGTGCAAATCA